ATGACTTTAGCAGCACCTAGGACAAAAATGGTTGGGCTACTATGATCGCAAGCTCTCGGGATTTACAGATATGCATTTGTGCTTGTGTAAGGGAGGTCCGGTTACTGCATTTTATTTTTTGTGATTTTTGTTAATTAGTTGGTTCTAAAAATGTAAATCTAAATTATTGTCCAAGACAAAAGATGAAGCGAAACAATTATCTAGAAACTCTTTTTTCAATGTTTCTGCTTTGGGTGGATACCTTGATCTCGCCATCATTGGCGAAGTGTCCCAAGGCGGCCATGATTTTGGGCATTGCGGCAGCCAGCGTTTCCTGTACGGTCTCCTCCTGCCGCTTGGTGATTCTGGCAAGGCATGGCAACAGGTTGACCAGGTAGGGTCTGAAGCACAAGAGATGAAAGGAGGTATAAGAATTCAAACAGAACAAAGTCATAAGAAGCACTTGAAACTGAGTTAGACAGCGACGGAGCTTCCACTTGCTAGTTGTGAGGCATGCAATGTTAAATACTTCAAAAATAAATCGGCAAAAGACATTCAACTTTACTCAGGAGGCAACCATATTTGAATTAGTTAAATTCATTCATTAGTCATTTACAAAATACACCAGAATTTGCTGTCCTTCAGGTAGGATTTCCCCCTCTGAGTTTTGGATAGTGTAATTTAAATGTGGCTGTCGTGTGAATGAAGTAAAAAGCTATTTCTGGGTATACCTGCATTTCTGTGGTCTGATGAGGTGTGCAAGCTCAGCAAACCTCCACAAAGCCGCCCTCAGACTCCGAGAGGCACCGTTCTACAGAGATACACAATTAACATCACCACAAGCACTAATATGTCATTCTTACTATTAATAAACCATGCCATCCTGGTGGAGAACAAACAAAAACTACATAAAACAATGTCAAAACCTCTTTTTTCTTCTCGTGAGAATAACACTGTTACATTTAAAAAATGACTCATTATATCAGACACATATGTCATTACCTTTTTAATTTCTTTGTACAGCTCCAGCTGCAGCCTAGGCAAGTTGGAGTCCATCAGCGCCTGAAGATAAATATCAAAATGATCATCTTGGGCAGGATGGCTGATTCAACAAAAAAAACTGATTTTAATTTAAATGAGAATACTGTTTTGATGTATAGTTTGATTATTATACATGTAATTATTGTTTCTGAATTGATTGATAAGGTGATAACACATCATGCAAACCCAAATCAAGGCCCCATGGTACCATGACCATTAACTGACGATCAACTTCTTGTCCTATAATTGAAGAAAAAATGAGGCACAACATTGAAAAGGGCCTTGCTGGAGGAATACAGGATCCTGCTCACTTTGATGATTTTGTTCAGGCACTCATCGGCTACCATCCGGACATCTGATTCGCTGTCATCGCTGCAGAGCAGGAACATCTCCATGGCGATGCCGAGCAGTTTCTGAAACTCTGGAGACGTTCTGTTCCCAGGACCATAGAGATGAAAAGAGAGGCAAATGTCATTATGCAGATAAATATTCAACAGACATTGTGAAACTATTCTAAACTGCTCACACATGAACACACCCAGTGACATTGTGTATTCTTGTCCCTGACACACAAACAAACCGATTAGTCTTGGAGTAGGTAGATAGTTTACCAGATTTAATGAGACGGGATGTGACTTTATAGATTTAATATAGTTTGTTGTGAACTTGAATAAATGCAGCAGATCAGGCTATTCTGGCAAAATATGTCTCATTCCAATTATAAACTAGGAAAATATGACAACCATTCTGTCATGTTTGGCAACAAAAATAGGGTGTGTACTGTCCAGCCAGGCAATGAAAAACACTTCTGCACGCACACTCACACTCACACTCACACACTAACCAGCTGCAGTGCATAAAATCAGCAGTGGTAAAATGTCGTGCCCCGAACTGAAAAATCATACATTGTTGTTTTTCCCTTTATTAGATAGGATAGCTGACGATAGACAAGAGAGGGGATGACGCGCAGCAAAGGGCCACAGGTCAGATTCGAACCCAAGGCCACTGCAGCAAGGATTTAGCCTTTGTACATGGCACGCTCTACCAGGTGAGCTATCTGGGCACATCGTTGTTCTCACAGACACCCTTACAATGTAAATTTCATTGAAGAACAAAAAAAAAAAAAAGGGTTCGATGAGCAAGGCCTACCTAAGAGACTGAGCCACAATGTTTTCACATATTGTCAGGCAGTGGGTGACCCGGTCCTTCTTAGTGGTAGCCTGTTCCTTTTTCCTGTGAAAGAGGAAATATGGGGAGGGTGAGACGAAGGGAGAGAAAATGAGAGGCGAAGACAAGGACAGATAAAGAACGATTGGAAAGAACAGCTGGGTTCAGAGACTGAGAACTGCACATCAGTCCATCTCTAAAGAGAATCCTTATTAAATATTTTTCTAATAGCCAAATAGCACAATGGGAGGAATACGGAATAGAAGTCAGTGCCATCTCATGAAACATTGCAACACTGGTCACTTCTGAAGAGGTCACTGAAAAGAATCAGTGTACATTTAAAGTCAAGTCAAATATAAGTCTTCTTTGATTAAAAGGCAGACATGTCAATTTGAAATGTTTTGAAGGGTCAAGGCACAAGACCACAATTTACTCTGCATCTAATTGTAAAAAAGCATGTAAAATAAAAATCCACAGAATGTAACATTGGGTAAAGCATATATGAATAACACTGCACATATGTATTCCATAATTTACACTATCAGTGATGCCGTTTGACAAACATATGTAATCACCATATTGATGTGTATAAAAAGCACCGGATGTGGAGTTGAAAGATCAACACTGTACAGCTAATTCAAGGGAGCTGCTGCTTTACATGATGTCATGTGCAAATACGTAGAAATGCAAACTGCAGACCTCCGTGTATGAACTTTCTAAACAAGACAACAAGTTGTTAACATGGTAGACTCTTTAGAGATGAGCCAGGCCTGCACTATATTGATCACCTGTGACCGTAACACAGTGCACGCCAGTTAGGATTTTGTCCACGTTGCTCATGACTTTCTGTATACAATAAGCAGACAATTATTAAAAGAGCAAAGCAGCAGCAGTTTTTCAGTTGCAGCCGTTCAGAAGCTCAATCCATGAGACCTGGCTATCCCCTAAACTAAGTCTTTATTGGCTCGCCACATTTAAACGTATTGAGTTTCAGCATCTAATCCTATCCAGGATAAAAGCTTTTAACTGTTACATGGACTAGAAGTTGTTGTGAATTTGGTACAACAAAAGCTTGACTGATAACCTAATCTAGATGTATGACATTAATGTAACCCGTCTGACAGTATATGACCTTAATAAACTAATAAACAGGGGGAAATAGACAATTTTAGGGATCTCTGGACTGGCAGATGAGCTGGGTGAGTTTTAACACCAACCCCACTTCAGGACTTGACAGATCTTTTTGAAATGAATATTGGACAGGTGTAAATGACGTCAGTCCAGGAGGCGACCATAGCAGTGCACCTGATCGTCGGCAAATCCAGTTACGATATCTGTCCAATAAACTACATAATGTTAGGTTGTGGCCCACACACGACTGTCCGAACTCACTGACACTGGCCCTTATACTTGGTGTCCGACCCCTTTATCAGGTGCGTGGGTATCAATTAGCAGACGTCTCCTACGTTAGCTCCCATTCAGCCAGTCCGACACTCACATAGTGTCAATATCAGGCGAAGAAGACGCCTCGTCGAGCATTGGTGCAATGTCGGAATCAATCTAAAATAGCAGAGAAGTTCAAAGCACAGCTTAGACTATGTTTGCTAGCTTGTGTGTTAACACAACTAGCCAGCAGTAACCTCAACCTCGGTTACCGGAGAGCCACTGCCGTTAGCTGAGAGCTAAGCTACCTGTTTAGCGGCTGTTAGCAATGAGCGTCAGACAAAAATCCACTTACTGCCTCTGGACGAGCTCCTCGGCGGTCGGTGGCCCCTGTTGCTGCTGGAACGACTTCAGAGACTCAAAGGCCTTCATCAGTTTCTCCATGGTGGCCATTTTAGCAATCAAGTGTAAGCAAGCAAGCTCGGCTAGCTAATATTTACTATGTGAGCTAACTAGCAGCAGCAGCAGCACGGTGGGTTAAGTTGTCGTAGAGAAGAGCGGTGCGTAGTGCGACGAGAGTGACAACACTGCTCGCGACAACTACCACCGGCTCTCCGCCTTCTTTTCGTGCAAGATGTCTCTTATTCTTTCACAGAGTTAGTCCTGAATGAACACAATGTTGGTTGATAATAAGCCATCTTTGATGCAGCGTTGCGTCCATCCGACAAATCAAACCAGGAAGAGGCATACGTGAGCTTGACAGAGAGGGCAGAGGTGAAAGTCAGCGGCCAATCAGACTGCGGCGTGGTGTTGAGTGACTGGAGAAAGAACCAATGGGTGACTGCGGGGTTTTTTTCTTTTGTTGTTATTGTTGCGGTCACGAGACCACTAAATCCCAGATTGTAAAAACATATTTGATCAACACCGATGCCGATTTGTGGCTCTAATCCGAGCGCCGAGGAAGACGAGTGGGAGGTGTGACAGTGGGGAGGCTAAAACAGCATCCTTTGAATTAATTTAAGAGGAAAAAAAAGACAATCTAATTTATCTTGCTCTCACCTTCATATGCTCAATTATACTGTAGTTCATTACACCCACCGTCTCAGCCTCAGAGGGAGGGACAGAGAATCAGTGGAGAAAAGCCCAAATGGAAATAAATCTCTAACTTTAATGTGTAGTTAGTTTCTATGGAATAAGTGGAGGGAGCTTTAATAAAGTCTTACCTGCAGCTGATATCCTTTAATGCCATATGTGCAGATACATATTGTGGCTTGGACGTAATCTAGGTCTTAGCACCAGACACTATTTTCTACTTATATTTTATTATTTATTATTATCTATCTACTTATTTTCTCCCATCTATTCACATTTATCAACAAACCAATTAATATATGACACAAATAAGTCAAGACACAAGTATTTTTATACAAATGGCAGTGTATTATTTCATAATTACAAATGTCAGATATGGTACAACAACCAGTGATACAACTTGTACAAGAATTAACAATGACTGCAGTGGTTGAACGACATGACTGTACAGATACAAAAAAAGAAGAAAAATCAAGAAGTCCCAGGCCCCGTTTGAATACCAATAATGCATTTGTTATTTCCCCCTTTCTTGAAAATATAATTTATCTGACATATCTGGACAGAGGACTGTGAAACCCGAGAACCTCCAAGCATTTATCCCAAAACTAGACTCGAGTGACATCAAGGAACTGAGGATCTCTTGCTTCTACACGTTGCTGGTGAGCGACATCCCCCGTGTTCAGGGGGAGACTCACCATCACCGCCTCAGAGGAAGGCAAGAGAGAAGGAATGCTTGTCATGTATTCAAACGGGGCCAACTCAGCTGGTCACCTTGCCATTTATAAAGTTGTCCTCAGATACCAGTGAGATATGTTGGCACTAGAAGGTCATCATTTACATATACAAGGAACCTGAAGTATTACAAACCGATACATGCTTGAGTAATAAAACATATGTATTTTTTAAAACAGGCATTACAATGCACTTAGTGCGGACATTCAAAACTGTTGAGCTGTTTAAAGTTCCTCTATGTGAAGGAATTTCTCTCAGAATGGACGGAATGGTTGAAAGGTTGAAAAAAAGGCGGGATGTCAGAACTTAAGTTGGTAATTGGCACATACAATAAAGGCTGACAGTCTTTCTTCAGTCAATTTTTCAGATAACAAAACAAGTTGGATTTACTTAATGTTGCTTTTGGTATCATTGGCAAAAAGTTAAAGACACTTCCTATAGTCATTGTCAAACACACCATAGTGCAATGAAACTAAACAGATATCTCTTTACTGCTATATGGATGGTATAAGAGTAAAGTTCAAACAATGACAGAGGCATGGGTGGCAAACACAGTAAGTTTCCCTGTGAGAGTGAGTGAATGTGTGTTAGAGCTTAGTTACATGTTAGAAATACATCATTTACAAGGTTTTTGAGGCTAAAGAGCTAAGAGGCTAAAATCTACATAGGCAAGAGAAATCAGCTTCAAAATGTGCCTGAGAGCAACAAAAAAATAACAAAAAAGACACTCAGAAACTCAAGTGATGACAAGCCAGCAACAGCACACGTTCGATTCCTGATTTTTGATAATGGAATGTGCAACAGGGTACAACATTTTTTTAGAATGGGCCAACAAATTAGTTACCAAAAAGGGGTATTATATGCGTACCATTTCAAAGGTAAGAAGTCTCGAATAGTTTGAAATTCAACTGAGTGACATTCAAGTCCCGATGTCATTTTGAACTATTGTACTGTTGTAATGCGTTAGATTGAACAAAAGCTGCATTTGCATACAGCGTAATATACACTCGCACACACAAAGCAGACATGTCCAGATTTGAGTATTCACAGCATTAAAACAGGTGGTGGGGAGTAAACAGCAACTGCCTCAAAAGCAAAATTCAAAAGCAAAATGGCTTCAAATGCCTCTGAAATGCCAATGAGAACAAACACACATAGTGGACATAGTGGATCCTGATTAGAACACGCTGGGAAATGTACAGAAAAATGTATTTGTTCATGATCGGTTAACCCGGAAGGAAACACTTCTTCTACAATGAAACAAAAGTGCACAACGACTGTGTTTCTGCAAGTGGTCGAGTGTTCCTGTACACAGATGATGGTAAATCTGCAGGTAGGAGTTTAAACATGTTCCTCCCCCTCTACACACACATACACATACACACACACACACACACACACACACAAGCAACTGTCCCAAGTCATTCCTATGAGAACAACATATTTAAATGGAATATTTAAAAGGTGAGCGCTATTAAGGTTAAGAAATCGAATTTTTCATCTAGTACAAACACAGCTAAAGCCACAGCATCTAACTGGAGGTCTACTAGTAGGATAAGTGGCCGACAGGCACCGTGCTATCTGTGATCAACAGGCACAGAGGCCAAAGCAGGCTGTATCTTGCGCAGAGGCTAATCGCTGCTGACAGCCAAATCAATGGAAGTTAGTTTGATGCAACAGCAATTTGTTTTTTAGATGAAGCCCTTGTCAGCTGCAGGTCAGATCTCTGATATAGTCCCATCATCCCCATCAGTCTCTGTGTTCCAACTCATTCTCCAGTCAACCTGTCCTACACTTTCTGTTATACTAAAAACATGGGTGGCAAATTACTAGGATAGTTTTCGAGGGAAAGGACTTCCACCCCACACATGGTTCATAATAACTGGACACGTCAGGAAAAAAACAAAAAGAAAGAAAGAAAAGCCAGGTAGTACAACAAAAGAAGCCAAGGAAAAAAAAAAATAGGATGAGGAATAAATACCAAAAATAGTTTTGCCTGAGTGATTCATGTAACAGACTTTGACTTAACAGCTGCGATCCCGAAGGAAACACTGTCCGGCATC